GCTAAAACGTGGAACTCCCAGTTGTGTTTTTTTTTTGTTTTGTTTTGTTTGGTCTTCTTTCATCCAAACTGCTTTGTCCTAAGCCTGTATTTATTTTTTCTTTCAGTTTTGAAAATCTATTTTCTTATTAAAATAGAACACATACACATAAAAATGTACAAATCATGAATTCAGTGCTCAATGGATTATCACAAAAGAGAATGTGCCTATAAAACTATCACTGTTGTGAACAGACAGAGCATTCCCAGCATGTCGGGAACCCAGGTCTGTCCTGGCCTTAATCCTCAAAGCTAACTACTCTCCTGACTTTTGACTCAGTAGATTATTTAGATTTTGCCTGTTCTTGTTCTTTCTGTAAATTGAATTAGACACTTCATATTATTCCATGTCTGGTTTCTTTTGATCAGAATTGTGACTCTAAGATTTATTGCTGTTTGTTTCATGTAGTGGTGGTTTGCTTATTTCACTGATTGTAGTTTTCTATTGTATAAATATTCCACCATTAATTTATCAGTTTCACTGTTCATGGGGGTGTGAATTGTTTCTAGTTTTTGGTTGCTACAAGTAATGCTGAAATGAACATTGTTGCACCTGTCTCTTAGTATCCAAATATATGAATTTTTGTTGGATATATCTAGCCATGGGATTTCTGGTTTATGGAGTGAGCACTGTTCACTTTTATTTTTATTTTTTAAAAGATTTATTTATTTATTTTAGAGAGGGAAAGAGAGCAAAATAGAGCATGAGAGAGTGTGAGTGGGGGGGAGGCAGAGGGAGAGAATCTCAAGCAGACTCCCTGCTGAGTGAGGAGACTTGTGTGGGACTCGATCTCATGACCCATGAAATCATGGCCTGGGCCCAAACTAAGAGTCGGATGTTTAAGTGAGCCACCCAGGTGCCCACACTGTTCACTTTTAATAAACACTGCCAGAGAGTTTTTCAAAGTAATTAAACCAATAATCATACTCCCACTGGTGTGTGTAGGAGGGTTCCAGTGGCTCCACATTTCACCACTATATATTTTTCATGTCTTTCTGATCTTAACTGTTCTCGTGGGTATGTTCAGGTGTATCATGATAGCTTTTATTTGCATTTCCGTGAAGAATAATGAAGTTAAGAATTTTTAAAATGATTATTAGCCACCTAGCTCTCCTCTTTTGGGAACTCCTTGTTCATGCCCTCTTTTTTTCCTGTTAGGCAATCTTTCCTTTTGACTGAGGGATTCTTTATATATTCTAGATATAAGCCCCTTATCAGTTACATATATTGCAACTATGTTCTCCCACTTGACACCTTGCTTCCCTTTTCACTCTGTTCGTGGTTTCTTTTGATAAGTAGAAGTTTCTCATTTTAAAATAGTCAGTTTACCATTCCTTGCATTTCTGGTTAGTGCTTTATGTGTCCTATTTAAAAAAGTCTCTTGTCTACTCCAAGGTCAGACAGATATTCTCTTATATTATCTTCTGGAAATTTTATTGTGTTGCCTTTCACATTTAGACCTACAGTCCAGCTGGAATTGATTTCTGTGTATGATTCACATTAAAGGTCAGGATTTTTTTTTTTTTTTATGTACGGATGTACAGTTGACCCAGCATCATTTATTGAAGAGACCATATTTTCCTCACTATTCTACAGTGTACCATTGTTATAAATCATGTTTCTATCACTGTGAGCCTGTTTCTGAATTCTCTGTTCTTTCCTGTTCATTTAGCCTTTCACATCTTTTAATTTTTACAGATTTACAGAAAATCATAATATCTAATATCTGGTAGTGTAAGTCCTCTAAATTTTGGGTGGCTCAGTCTGTTAAGTGTCTGACTCATTATTTCAGCTCAGGTCATGATCTCAGGGTTGTGAGATTGAGCCTCTGCTCTGGGCATGGACCCTGCTTAAGATTCTCTCTCTCCCTCTCCCTCTCCACCCCCCAGCCCCGTTCCCTCTCAAAAAAAAAAAATATTCTTGGACCTTCTTGGCCAGTTGTGCTTCCCTATTATTTTATAATCAACTGCTAATGTTCCATTTTGACTTAGACGTTTTTAGTCCAAAGTTATTTCTTTGAGACCTTTATAAATTTATCACCTGCAATCAGAAACAATAAGAACGAAACTCTTAACTCTTGCACGATTGCAAGGTAATAGGGAAGATCCCATGCCAAGCATCTGTTCTCATTGCTTAAGACCATAGTTTATTCAGAGACCAGGAAGCCATGTGTTACATGTTACTGTATTATTATAGTTATTTTAAAATTATTTCAAAGTATATATATCATTTTCAAATATATATGTCAGTTCTCCATATTTTGATTCCAGGATAACTGTCTTTGTTCAAGTTCGGGTTCTTCGGCCTCTGAGCCTTTGCACTGGCTGTACCTTAGGCCGAGAATGTTTTTCCCCCATTACTGGCATGCCTAACTCCCTCACCTTTTCCAGATCTTTTTAAACACCACATTCTCAATGAAACCTGATTGTAGTTAAACTTGTAACTTCTAACCCCCTTGCCCTGTTCTACTGGTATGTGTGTGCTTGTGTGTGTGTGTGAGAGAGAGAGAGAGAGAAAGAGAGAGAGAGAGATGACAGTAACACTTGTCACTTTCTGATGTACCATCTAATGTATTTCTGATTAGGGGTCATTTATATTGTCTGTCCACATCAACAGAGGTGTTGGCTTTATTGACTAATATATCCCAAGGGAAGAATAGTACCTTGCACATAGTATATGCTCAATAAGTATTTGTAGAATGAATTGAATGAATGGAAGGTTTCTTTCTTACGCCTAACCCGTCTCTACCTGTGATTTAGACATATATAGGACAGTCTAGTGAAAGGGTTTGACAGCCCTAGAAAATTAGTTGGTGTGCATGAGAATCTGAGGAGCTTCCTGGAAAGAACCCATCCTAATCTTAAACATGGCATTTTAATCCAGCAATTTATTGCTTCAGTGTTTGTAGAGGAAGGGTGATTCTGGCCACACTGGTTATTTCTTCTAGGAATTCATGTCTGCATCCTAGAGGGAGAGAAGATGTAAGTTGGAAAGAAAATGAATCTTTTTTTTTTCTATAGAAATTCTGTAAAACACAGACTGCAGGGCTCCAACCCCAGTGTTGTGTTGTTGTTGTTGGCATTGACCTGGGACCAGATCATTTGTATTTCTAACAAGTTTCTAGATTGTGCAGGTCCTGCTGGTCCAGGGCCAACACTTCAAGAACCAGTGTTATTACAAGGTATCAGGAAGCAAATGCACTAGACTCCAGGACCCCTTTGAATGTGACCCTAAGACAGAAGGAAGCGTTTTGGCACTCCCTAGTCTGGCAGTTTGCCACAGAAAAGCTTTCCAAACTTTGACACTTTGAAGCATTTTAACAGGTGTGAAGTATCCACTGAAATGAACAGGGGGACCCATAAGAGGGCCAGTGCCCTGAAGCACTAAGCAAAAGTCAGAGAAAGGGTGAAAGAGAGTGGATGCCACTTGATGGAAATGTTTCTTTTTTTCCTTCACTCAACCTCCTTTTTTCTCTTTATGCTTTCTTTCCTTCCCTCCCTCCCTCCCTTCATCTTTCCTCCCTTTCTTCCTTCCTTTTCTTTCCTTCCTTCTTTTAATGAGCATATTTGAGTTGCCCCCCTCCCAAAAGACTATGGGAAATAACCAAGTGGGTCTTCTTTGTGGGAATCTAGAGATTCTGAATTAGCAGGAACAGGAGTCAAGAGTTACACCTTTTTCCAAACCTTTTAGTCCTGATAATCTTGTTAGAAACAAAACCTTCAGCAACCTGGACCTACATCTTTGTAGCAGGAGGAGATCAGGTACGTTAACAGCAGGAGGCCTAGAGGGAATTTACGGTGTCATTGCAGAGTCCATGTTTTATTTAATTCTGTTTTCCAACCACTAGCCAAAGGGAGCCTACAAGCTGAGGTAGTTCTGCATTCTAATAAATAATCCTAAAGAGCTCTTCAGGTTCCATCTAGGCATAATTACTACGTATAAAGACGCAGACAGCCCATTATTGATGTTAATCCCAGTGCTAGTGCAGGAAGGGGAGGCTAGCAATGAAAGGAAGTGTGGGTAAGGGCCTCTTATTAGCCCCTTCAAAGTTAGAGTGAGTCTCCTGCTGGCTCCTTGTGACTCACAGTTACCTCAGAACTAATTACCTTCGTCTTGGTGGCAGGTTCCATCTCAGTGCTCTGTGGAGTTCCTGGCTAGTTTGATGCCATTTACTTTACCTTCTGCAAGCCGCCTTACTGAATTTCAACGAAGCCTGGGCTCTGGGTTAAATGCCACGTTAGTTATGCAACTTTTCTTACAGGTTTGATTCCTTGCCGTCCTCCAAACCTACTTGAGGCAGATGCATTTTAACATTGTGAAGAGAGCCTATCTACCAAGGGCTAGGGGACAGTACCTAGACTTCTTTTTGTTCATTAATTCAACATTAATGAGCTACCTACTTAGTACCAGGTACTCTGCAAGCCCCTGGGATGTGGAAGTGAATGCTCTTTCCCTGCTCTTGAGGAGCCCAATAAAGGGACAACACTGGACACATTGACAGATAATGGCAGAGACATGAACCAAGTATTAAGAGATTCTAGAAGAGGGATAAGCAGTTCAGCCAGAAGGGGCAGGTGCAAGCTTCTTTTTTTGTTTGTTTGTTTTTTTTTTTCTATTTTCACCTTTTTATTGGGAATACAAGGCAATGTTACAGTTTCAGATCATTAAATAAACAAATGTGGTGATACTGATTGACAACAATCATGACCTGAATTCTGTGAGTAAGTAGTTTTCCAGTTCAGTGGGTAGAGGAGAACCACATTACTCAGCCACCAGAGTGTTCTGGCTTCAACTCGGGCTAGAAGGAATGCCAGTCCTGGCCAACCATCCATGATCTTCACCACAGCAAACTGGAATCTCCAATTTTTCAAACTAACTGTAGTTAGAGTAATTCCAGACTGACCTATAAATTAATGTGGACGACTACTAAAGTGCCCTCCACTCCTAAAGTGGCAAAATCCTCAGAGTGACTGTTGGAGTAAGGAGCCTTTCATGTTCTCCCAGTTATTATATAGTGCATAGAGGCTGGTAAGCATTGGTCCTGCTAGACCACCTTGTGCTACCCCTCGGAGACCACCTGTACATTTATACAACATGCCTGTCATGGTTCCAGCTGCTATTGTGTTAAGGTCATCTTCTGCACCTCGTGTTTTCTCAATGACGACACCAAATGCACTATAGAGCAAAGCCAGAGAACCTAGAGTATTAGCCCAAAGTGCCCCTTGCCTAGTCACCATGTTCAAAATCTGTACATTTCTTGGTTTGGACCAGGACATGTTCTGGGTTTCCTTCAATCCTAGCCGTAGACCGTTCATTGATCCAAATGCAGCCCCTGTCATAAAACATCCTCCAATGGTAAAGAAGGCCAGTTCAAATCTGCCCCGGGTTTTATTAGCTCCAGTCGGTAAAATAAACTCATCTGTATCCTGAACAAGATATCGTGGATCCACATTTAAATACGATGACAGAGGGTTCATACCAGTCAGCAGGACGCCGGCCAAATCCGCGTGTGAGTAACCTGCCCCGCTGGCTCCGAAAAAGCCGGCCAACCCCCCTGTGGTTTTGTTCCCGCTTCCCCCGCCGCTCTCCATGGTGTCACAGCAAACTGCCTGTCTGCTTCTCACTGCCGCCTCAGGCCGGGTTCGTCGGCTCCGCCGTTGCTCCCCAGAAAAAGCGGGGAGACCTGCGTTACCAAGGCCTCCTTCACACGGTGACCTTCCAGGAGCCCAGGTGCAAGCTTCTTAGTAGAGGTGGGAACCTGACATGCATCTTTACTATTTTATAGGAGTTAGGGAAATGGAGAGAGAGAGAAGAGCATGAGGTGTAGGTGTTATAAAATGTTATAAATAAAAACATAAACATGAGTCACAGAGTATCTTTGGAGAAGTGTATTTATTAAGACAGGGATGGAGGAGAAAGGATCATGGTGAGCTAACAGTCATCCTGTTAATGGTCATTCAGTTTTCATGTATAAAATAGTGGTAGAGTACATGGATTCTGGAACTAGATAGTCTAGGTTCAAATTTTGATTCTTCCACAATTAACTGTGTAACCCTAGGCAGGTCACTTAATCTCTCTGTGCAGGGTGCTTAACTTCTTCATGTCTTAGTCATATGTAAAATAAGGATGATGATACTCTCTCAGAGTTACTGTGAAAACAAGTTCAATGCTTAGCATAGCAAGAGTTAAATAAATACTAGCAATTATTATTATTATTTATTGTTATTAAATGTTTAGTATGCTTAATATCATTATCATTTCCATCATTTCTCCCAACAATCCAATGAGTTGTTAGTGTTCCCACTTGGATTTTTTTTCCAAACCCGTCCAATGTCAGGACATTGGCTTCTAATCCTAATACTACACTATGTTCCACAAACCGCTACTGGTATGCCTCAGATGTCTGGCCAAAAAGTCGGCAAGGGAGTGTGAGAAATGAAACCAGATCAGTACTAAGGGTTATCCCCTGAAGCTAAACAACGACGTGGGGTATGGAAGGCAGGTGCACAATTGAAGCCAAGCAAATATCCCCATTGCGGTTTTAGGAGGTTTGTGTCGGAATCCATGAAGTCCAAACCCACTGCAGTAACAGCCCGCCCTCTCCGTTGCCCGGATCCACACAGTGCTTGTGTGGTCCTCAGACAACTGCTTCCGATGTTACATATTGCCAAGAAAGAAGAGGAAACAGTAAACATATTTCATGATATTTTTTCCCCTTTGAGAAATGAACATCTTCTTATCCCACTATTCATCATAAAGATAAAATAGTGAAATCCGTGTTTGAACAGATTCACCTTTTCAATCCGGTGTCTTCTGACCTAAAATTCTCCCAAGTGTAGTAAATTAACTGGTTCTCTGTTTCATATACTGAAGGAGACTGGGGAGGGAGAACCCCTTCTGCAGGCAGGCAGTGATTTTTGCCTAAGTGGGAGCTATGTAGGGAAAAGATGGGATATTCTGTTGGGTTCTCTGTTGTATTCCTTTGTATTATCTGACAAATCTTTAAACACCTCCATGGACAGGTTTCTAAGAGGTGGAGACTTGTCAAGATCTCCTGAGAATTGGAATTCTGCAGGAGGTTGTGGCTAGCTGCAAGATAAACCTTGGGTCCATAAAGATTGGATGAGAGTCCACATAGCATCTAAAGGAGCGATCATCAGGTGACTCTCAGGGCAGAAGCAAGGATACAGTGTTGGCAGGAGAGAATGAGAGCAATTGTCTGAGGCTTACATGGATTTTTATTAAGAAAACAACGTGCTTTTCTCTTATGGGGAAGGTCTTATTTTTTGTTATCTGCTCTTGGTGAGTTTGATCTCTTATTCTCTCTCAGACTTCCAATGAGCACATTCTTCCTGCATGAGGCGGCATTTGAATAAGGAGTGAAAGGTGGTTTTGGACATAAGAAATGAAAGTTTTTCCCCCTGTGGACAATGATCTGTGAAAGGGAGAATAGAACTAAAACCAGCCCCAAAATGGGGGTTTCGTTTTGTCCACGGCCAAGAAGGTGGAGCAGTGAATACAAGGAGCTGCTGTTGATGGGCTATCTGTCTGGATTACCTGGTGATTAGAGCAGAATTATTTTTTTCTCCTCCTCTGTCCCCTTTCCTCTGCCCAGCCCGGCGTGCAAGACTGGACTTTGTCATTTTGGGCAGATCTTATAGTGTGTTGCAGAGTAACAAGTCTCAGCTCCATACGGTTCAGTTGACTTACGCATTTTCTGGTGGGGAGTGTGAAAACTCATTGTCTGTCTGTTTCTGGTGGGATTATCTGATTTGAAAGCTCTGATATGAGGGAAGCTAAAACATTATCTGCAAGATGTGTTCCATACAGCAGGAAAAGAAAGATGCAAGACAACTCTGCCAATAGAAGCTGCCATGGGCCCTTGTGGCCACCAGAGCTTTGAGCTCTGCCTTAGAAAAGGGAAGGGACATCTGACTTACTCAGAGATATGAGTCCTCCCTAAATGACCGCAGCCCTGAGGTTAACTTAATTATTCCATCTGTTCCTACTAAACTCTCCAAGCTGGGCTGATTTTCCAAGCTTTGTGCTTGGTTTGGTAAGGGAAGAGCCTGATAGAAACTGATGCCACAGTACTTGACATCCCAGAGCTGTGGATAAACACATCTGCCGGAGAGATGAGCTGAGTGATGAATGTTCACCAAAGCAGGATGTGTAACTGAATGGCATTTTCTTTTCAAGAGCCATTCAGAGAAAGCTGGGGTGAAAAAATGCTCTGCCTTGTGAGCAGGTAACTAGGCCTCAGATCAGTGAAGCATGACCAGGTATGTCTGGAGTTTTATATTCCATCCTGTGGAGGAGCTGTTTGAAATATTTCTGGCTTGGTGGATCTTCAAACTCATTTAGCTGGGAACCCATTTTATAAACAAAACTTTTTCTGAAATCTCCCTTACTCCATCCTATCAAAAGATTTAAATAGTATTTTGTTTAAGTAATTTATAAGTTTGGATTTACATGTGCTTTTAAAATCTGCCACTTCAAACATGAAGCTTATTTTGATGAACAAAAACTTGATGAGCAGATGTTATGGATGGTTATAACTGCTTTTAGAAATATGTTCAATGCTGTGGTTGTTGATGCTAGTGTGATTTTCCAGGGTCGGAATACACTAGCCCACACAGTGAAGTAATTACACGTCGTAACAATTTTTCAACAGCGCGATCTCAATCTCAAAATGTCCTTCTGTTTTCCTCCGGTCTTCTTTCTAGTTGAATCCACTGAATGCCTTGAATCCCTACTGTCATTTAATAATTATTTACATTTTCCAATAAATAAAACCCAACTTAAAAGAAGTAAAAAAAAAATAGGTTCCTCAGTGAGTTTAAAAGCTTTTTGTTTTTTTACAAAATACTTTTATGTATATTATGAGATTGTGATATTGTCAGTCATTTTTTAATTGTGCATATTTTGGTGAGTTTCTCGGTGATTCAGCACTTTATTTTTTTTTTTTAAAGCTTTTATTTATTTGACAGAGAGAGACACAGCAAGAGAGGGAACACAAGCAGGGGGAGTGAGAGAGGGAGAAGCAGGCTTCCTGCCGAGCAGGGAGCCTGATGCAGGGCTGAATCCCCGGACCCTGGGATGATGACCTGAGCCGAAGGCAGATGCTTAATGACTGAGCCACCCAGGCGTCCCAGTGACTCAGCACTTTAAAACAGAAAATTTCATTTTGCTTTGCATGCTGACTACAAACTTTAAATTTCCATTTCATTCTAGTCCCTTTGTCCGTAGTTTGTAAGCTCAAAAACGTTATGGCCTGCATTGCTAAATTGAGTGTGTTCTACTTACTAAAAACTTCAACAAGATTCACAAAAATCTTGCTGCAACCATATTCTATGTTCGAGAGAAACAAACAAAAAATTAGTGATTTCTTGTCTCACTTGAAATAGTCATACTTGTACCTTGCATCCAGCAGAAGAGCTGAAGAACTCCAGTGAAAACATAAAACTTGGAACTCACTGCCTAAATAGTTGTAAAATGTCTGTAATTTAGTGAACAGTATAAAATACATTCTCCAACAGAGTTTTGATAGAAGATGGCATTTTAGAAAGTGGTGTTAGCTCATGCAAGATGCAGAGGCTACTTGAACATATTAGGGGAATAGCTTTTATAAGGACCATGATGTTTTACAGATTTTCCTATTGTTTTCTTAGCATCTCTACAGATGTAATTACATTTTGCCGTACTGGATTATATGTTTAAAAATCTGATCCAGGGGTGCCTGGGGAGCTCAGTTGGCTAAGTGTCCGATTCTTTTAATTTTTTTTAAGATTGTATTTATTTATTTGACAGAGAGAGAGACAGCGAGAGAGGGAACACAAGCAGGGGAGTGGGAGAGGGAGAAGCAGGCTCCCCGCTGAGCAGCAAGCCTGATGGGGGGCTCGATCCCAGGACCCTGGGACCATGACCTGAGCCAAAGGCAGACGCTCAATGACTGAGGCAGATGACACCCCTAAGTGTCTGACTCTTGATTTCAGTTCAGGTCATGATCTCAGGTTCATGAGATCGAGCCTCACTGGGCTCCATGCTGGGTGTGGAGTCTGCTTAAGATTCTCTCTCTCCCTTGGCTACCCTCCCCACTCAAGTGCTCTCTCTCTCTCTCTCTTTCTGTTCTCTCTTAAAAAAACAAACAGAAAACCAAAACTGATCCAGACCCTTAAGAGTTTCTGTTGTATAAACAGAATAATCAAATAATAAATCTTCCCAGATATCTACTTGCCTGTTCACAACTTACCTAAATATGCAAAATGGAGAGAGTCTATGATAACCATTTTCATTTACAGTTGGAGTCTCACGATCCCATATAACCTGGTTTCAGGCAGATTTATCCCATATGTAGAATTCATGTTCTCAGCTCCATCTCTGCCCTCTGTTATCAAATAATATTTCTGATTGTGTTTTTTTAACATGATCTGTTTCCTAAGACTACATACTGCAGCGTCATGGTCAGGGATTAATATACTTTTTGTCTGTTGTGGGCACACCTCCTTTACATGTGATGAAGCAATTTATGTTGGACAGTGCTGCAATTGTGTTTTCATCAACATGTTTGAATTTTTTTTTTTTTTGCATTCATCTCTTTAATAACATTTACATGTTAATGGGCTCTGAGAGAATCTAGGATGTACTTTTGTATTTTGGTGTAAAAATGACCTTGTGATTTGGCCGAAACACTGAAA